CAGACACGTTCTGTATGAAGAACATCTGAGGCCTCGACAAGTTCTGGACAAGAGTTTTTGAATGTTGATTATTCGAATGTTTCCCAGAAGAACGTTCTATAATATGTTCCCTCAACAACATCTTTAAAACATCCCCAGAACATTGCAGGCTGAATGTTCCACATTCGTTAATGCATCAAATCACAGGAACGTCTTGTAAAAATCATCTGACGCTCAGAAAACATTTACTGAACGTTGATTCGAGAACGTTCTTCTTCTATCATCGTGGAACATCGTCTGACAGCATCCTCTGATAGTTCACATCAAAACCATTTGTCAACTTTGTAGGAACATTCCTAGAAATTAAAATATTTTTTAAAACATTTTCTTTATCTTTTTAATGACTTGTAGGTAAAGTTATAGAATGTTTCGGGAACGTTTCCTGAGAATTTTGCAAACAACGAAGCAAAACTACGCTAAAAATCAATGACCAGAACGAAGATGAAGCTCGTGTGGAGGAAATAAAAAGTCGCTGTTAATGGAAGTGATCCTCGGGACACTCGTTACAGGGACTTTTATGAAGCAGCGAAAGGCCACCAGCTGTAAAGTTTTATGATCAAGTCAAGTGATTCATATTTGGTCATATTAATTTAGGACTCAAGAGGAACATTAGATGAAGTTTCCTTGTAAAAAAAAAAGTGATTTCCATCTAAGTTCGACCGTATAACTTCAGCTAAACACTGACATTGTGTTCTTTTGACTCCTGACTCAGCTGCTTTAAAGATCAGACCAGCGTCTAACTTTGCACATTAAACCTGCGATAACCAATTTCACACTCGTTATAACCTTCTAAGCTGATACTCTGAGTTTACGGTTGCTTATTTACACTTGCAGCAAACTTAGAGCTCATTTAAAGGCGTGTTTTACTTTCTTTTAGCTTTGCTTTGGTGTCTGATTAAAACAAGAAGTCTGGCTCTGGAGCTGCTAAACGTTCCACCGTCCTGTCGGTAGGTCGAGTACAGGAGGGTTTTCTGCCAATCTGAGGAACTGCAGAGCTGAGAGATGATAACTCTTCATGAGCGACTCCTTTCACAGATTAAAAAGTGCTCCGATGTTAAATGTGTTTTTATTGTAGCTGCTCTAACTGTCTCTAACCCTGAAGGGAATGAAGCCAACACGGGCACATTTTGAAGAGGAAGATTGTGTTTTTTCTTCTTCAAACGTTATTCCATCTGCTATAGATATATATATAATCTATAATCTAAAAGTAATGTGACATGAAAGCACAGCTGTTCGTGACTCCACACCATCCACTAGATGTGCTCGTACAAATTCAAATAAAGGATTTTTTTTTTGTGATAAGCAGTAAGACTTGTCAGTATTATATTGTATTTATTTAAACTTCTGGGTGCATTGTGGGTTTTCCGTAATGCATTGTGTGTTTTTAAGTGTGCACTGTGTTGCCACAAAGACACACAAAACCACCACAAATCACTACAACGACACTTAAACAAACCATAAGTCACCACAAAGAGACGAATAAACAACCACAAATGATAACATAGAGGCACAATGCTACCACTAAGAGACACAAAGTGACTACAAACAACCACAAGGAGATGCAAACTGACCACAAACCACACA